TACTTGAAGTTTGTCCACTTCATTAATATTTTGAAGATTTAGAATATAGGGGCCAGAGAGATAGTATAGTGGGTAAGGTGTTTGCCTTGTATGTAGTCAACCCTAATTCAATTCCTGGCACCATATATAGTCCCCTGAGCCTCACCAGTAGTGATCCCTGAGTACAACCAGTTGTCGCCCCCAAACAAACAAATAGAAATAGTTCAATACTTTAACATAGCCACTTAATATAATAGACCTAGTGGTTCAAATATGGTAGTAAATTTGAATAATTTTCATAGTTTCTTTTTCAAATTGTATTAAAGAACCATAGAACCATTATATAAAAAGTCATTGAGAAGAGAATTTTAGACATAGAATGTTCTAGCACCAATCCACCACCAGTGTCTATTTCTCTCCATCAGTGTTCCTAAGTCTGACCCTTCCCCCACCCGTCAGCTTGCCACCTGACGGATACGTTTTAAAGTTTGGTTGTAGTTTGGATCTTATATTTTCAGTGCTGATAACTTTGTGTTTTGGATATATAGCTCTGACACTCCTCCACATTACTGATGTATCCAAGGCCCTTGATACGAGTGCTCTTGTACAATAAAATAGCCAAAGGTATCAAACAGAAAGATAATTAAACAGCTAGGAGTGACCTAAACATTATACTGCAGTCGGTCCCTAGAACAGAGATTCCCAAATACATTTGACCTACTGTCCCTGTCCCCACCCCCAACCCTTTGGGGGCATTATGGTTTGCAGTTCAGGTACGGAGAGGTTATTGTATATAGTCCCTGTCCCCTTTTCAAAAAAAAAAATCACCCAAACCTTCTCCCTTCACCCTGTCTTACTGGAAACTTACATTTTTTTACACGAAGAAAAGGAAAATTCTCACCAGTTGTACCTGAGACTGCTAACTCCCACCCCTGGATCCCTTCACTGGCCCACTATGTGAAAGTGGGAAAGGGGTGCAGTATCACCCACTTCAGGAAACGCTTCTCTATCATGATGGTCTCAAAAGGTGTGATCACTGCCTACTTGTAAAGACAGTTTTATTTGCTTCATTCATTCTTCTGCTTAGGGGCAAAGCAGCTATCTTCTTTTCTTCCTTCCTTCCTTCCTTCCTTTCTTTTTTTCTTTCTTTTTAAATTTTATTGAATCACCGTGAGATAGTTACAAGCTTTCATGTCCCTCTCCCTCTCCCATTCTCCTTCCCTCTCTTTCCCTCCCTCCTTCCCTCTCCTCTCCCTCTCTCACATCCTCCCTCTCTCCCTCCTTCCCTCCCTCTCCTCTCTCTCTTTCTCTCTCTCTCTCTCTCTCTCTCTCACCCCCACTCTCCCTCTCCCACCCCACCCCCAACCCTTTGGGGGCATTATGGTTTGCAGTTCAGGTACGGAGAGGTTATTGTATATAGCCCTATATATCAGTTCTTGTCCAGAATGATTATTTCCAATTATCATTGTCATAGTGGTCTTTTTTCTGTCCTATCTGCCTTCCCTAATTCCTATCACTTGTGGCAAGCTTCCAGCTGTAGACCAGTCCTCCTGGTCCTCACTTGATCACTTGACATCCCGTTATTCAACGATTTGATCGAGCAGGCGCCAGTAACGTCTCCACTCGTCCCTGTCACGTGCTAGTGTAACCCAATGGCGTCTGCTTGTTCTAGGAACATGAAGAGCCTCAAACCGATCATTCATGGTCTTGACAAGAAGTCTGACCATCTCATAGGTGGGCAGCCACACGTCCTTTTGACGTCCCGTGGAATCCAGTTGGTAACGGCTCTAGTCCAGCAGTTGTCTCCAAAATCTCATTATGTGTCCAGCCCATCTGATTTTCGACGCCTTGGCAAATGAGACAGCATCCCTGATTCTTGACCATCAATGGCAATTGGAACTCCGGATTCTTTCTCTCGTTTGAGTGAAGCATGATACTCCAAGCATAACTCTTTCGATTCCTCTTTGGGAGACCCGAATAGCGTTCTCATCCTGTTTTCATAGGGCCCAGGTCTCTGAGGCATAGGTTAATGCAGGAAGAACAGTAGAGTCGAAGAGATGTGCCTGGAACCAGAGTTTCTTCGTCCTCTTAGCTATTTCTTCAACGCTCTTGAAGGCGTTCCAAGCCACTCTCTTCCTCCTATGCAACTCAGGTGCCAGGTCATTCATAATGCTGACTTCTCAACCTAGGTACACATTACTGTTGTATTTGAAGATGTTCGTTCCATTGAGAGCGAATGGAATGTCAGGAATGAGACTGTTTCTCATAAACATTGTCTTCATGAGATTCAGCTGTAATCCGACCTTTCCACACTCATGGTCGAAGTTGGCCAGCATTTGTGCCGCTTGGCTAATGTTTGGTGTCATTAGAACGATGTCATCAGCGAAGCGGAGGTGTTGTAGTTGCAGACCATCTATCTTCACTCCCATTCCTTCCCATTCCAGTTGTCGCATAATATTCTCGAGGGTGGCACTGAAGAGTGGTCCTCATTGGGCATTAGTCTCATACAATTTTTTTTTTTTTTTTGCTTTTTGGGTCACACCCGGCGATGCTCAGGGGTTACTCCTGGCTCATGCACTCAGGAATTACTCCTGGCGGTGCTCAGGGACCATATGGGATGCTGGGAATTGAACCTGGGTCGGCCATGTTGGCAGCGTGCAAGGCAAATGCCCCACCCACTGTGCTATCGTTCCAGCCCCATATACAAATTTTTTATATCCCACTGATTTCATCTTTTCTTACAGCTAAGTAGTGCTCATGTATATACTACATCTGCTTTTATTTTTTAACATTTTATTGATATAACATGGTTACAATAGTGTTATGGTAATGTTTTTACTATGCAATATTACCACATCTCTACAACCAAAGAGATTTTTCCTCTTGCTGTCGTCCATTAAATATCTTAAATTTTTTTACATTTTTTAAATGTCTTTCCTTCCATCTGTTATTGCTGATGACTTAGAATTTGTTCTTGCATTTGCTTGTGTAGTTCCCAGCATTCAGAATTCTATTGCTGTGACTTGCTATTATATTCTTTAGCCCCTTGATTCCCGTTTGTAGGCATGCATCAATTCTTTGAGTTGCTTGAATTAGTCTTCCAGTGCTTCCTTAATGTCCATGACCATGGTGTATTGTTTTGAGGTTCTCCTCTACCAGGATTGAGGATTTTGATGAACTTCAAGGTTTACTTGTGCTTCCATCCCTGTCAGCCGGTGCAGCTTAACTCCTTTGTTTGCCCATTGCCTTGAAAGTTTTGTGGGAGCTCACAGTGTAACTCCAGATACCAGATCTTAGTGTTTATCCTATATGTTGTTTACACTATCTGACTATTGTTTTTGCCTGTTATTATTCTTTTTTTTCTTACTATATGCACTGTCTTGTAAACATATTTCATCAGGCTAGGCAGGGGAGGAGCTCGGTCTTCTTTTTATAGGTGGGGACTTTTGTTGGGGTCGTCTGGCTCTAAAATGAGACCCTGTGGTTTCTTAACAGGTCTTAAAATGTGTCAGGTGGTTGAAGGACAGCTGTGATGTTGCATCTTATGCAGCCATGCACTTCAGGCTGGGCTCTGGTCCGGCTAAGGGACCACACTTCTCCTAACTGCTATAGCGTAATAGTGTAGGTTAAACTTGGATATCATGGTACCTCCATTTTTCCCCCCTAAGGATAGTTTTAGCTATTTGGTGAGTTTTGTGGTTCTGTGTACAATTTCATAGATTTATTTCTTGTAGAAATCCATTAGATTTCGATGTCATTGTGCTGGGTCTATATAATGCTTTGTGTGGGCCTGTCATTTTCACAAAGTTTATTCTTGTAATTCTTGGTTATGGAACATTTTCCCATTTTCTTGAATCTTCTGTTTTATAAAGTTCTTTTGTTTTGCTTTTGCTTTTGGGTCACACCCATCAGTGCTTGGGATTTATTCCCAGCTCTGTGCTCTGGGGGTTGCTTCTGATCGTCCTTGGGGGACCATGCAGTGGTGGGATTGGAAAGCATGCACTCAGTCCTTTAAGCTGTCTCTCCTGATTTTATAAGGATCATATTTTAAATAATGAAAATTTTTGATTTATGATATAAGGAGAATAATGTTTACATTTCACATTTAACAATTCTAATTCTCAAAAGAATGTTTCAGCTTCCAGACTTTTTTTTCTTTTTGGGTCACACCCGGATTGCACAGGAGTTACTCCTGGCTGGGCACTCAGGAATTACTCCTGGTGGTGCTCGGGCGACCATATGGGATGCTGGAAATCAAATCCAGTTTGGCCGTCTGCAAGGCAAACACCCTACCCGCTGTGCTATTGCTCCAGCCCCACTTCCAGAATCTTTGAGACCCCAAACTTTAAACAGAATATAGCTGGAAATTAAAAAGGAGAGGAGATAAATAAGTTTAGAGTTATCTGTAGCCTTAGAAGAAAGAAATTAAGGAAAAGTGGGATAGAAAATAAAGGTTTAAAAAATAAAAGCTGATAATAGTGTTTTAAAACTCTCAGCATTTGTTTTTCCCCTTTCTTATTTTCATATGTGTGGTTTTTCCAGAACCCAGAGCAAGTAATTCAGTTCTGATATTATTGACCTAGAAAAAATGGGCAATGCCTCAGATTTAGGAACTCAACCTTATAAGACTGTCTCCATCACAACTTCAGACATCAGTTGTGTTGTGATCTTTGCTTTTGACTGACTGGCTATAGATAAGAGGTCCCACAGCCCGTCCTGAGACTGGAAGAACTTGCTAGAGTGGCTCAAGAAATGTGGAGAAGCTTTGCATATTAAATCATACCACTATGAAAGGGTAATTCATGAAGACTATATGTAACAGATGCATAGGATAAGGCATATGGAAGACTTGGAGCTTCTCCCTCTTTCCAAACCTCTCCTCCCCAGATCCCACATGTTCCCCACCTGCAAGTTACCAGAATCCTATCCTTTGGGAGATTCATTATATTGTGCATGATTGAATAACGCTCTAGGGTGTCACAAATCACCCTGTCATACTTACCCTTTTATCTCATTTATAGGTTGAAGCTCCATTCATACCAAAGTTTAGAGGCTCTGGAGATACCAGCAACTTTGATGACTATGAAGAAGAAGATATCCGTGTCTCTATAACGGAAAAATGTGCAAAAGAATTTTGTGAATTTTAAGGAGGAGCAACAAGAAGATATCAGATGTCACACTCAATCTTTGCACTCTGTTGAGAGATAAGGTGGAGCGGAGACCGTCCTTGTTGAAGCAGTTGCCTAGTTCCTTCATTCCAGCGACTGAGTGAGGTCTTTCTTACCATCATCTGTGTGTGCACTCTGCATCCACCAATGTAACAAGGCACCGCTAAGCATTGTCTGTGCCATAACACAGAACTAGACACTTTCCTGCTTCTCTTTGGTTTGTCTTTCTCCTCTCCTCCTACATCCATTTCTTCCCTTTTTCATTCTCATTAATTTTTTTCCCCAACCAGTGCTCAATTTTATTTTATTGGTGTTTCAGATGGGCAGTGTTACAGCTCTATGATATTTGAAGGGAAGTGTTGCTTTTAGTAGTTCTTGCCAGTATTTTTGTTGGTCAATGGCTTGAAGATATACATTCTAATGATTTTTTTTATTTGAGTAGCTCAGACCCAATTTTGCAAAAATTTTAGATAGTTTTTGAAGGCAGAATGTCTTACTACAAAGGAAGTGTACACAAAGTAAACAATAAATTTCTCAGAGCTCACTGTTCTGGCAATAAATTGGAATATGCTAATATAGAGAATAGCTAGATTTGGCAATTTGGATTCCTCTAGATCAGAGTTCTTTTTCCCCTTACTTCCTTTTATATCATCCTCCTCTTGAGTGACCAGCCTGTTCAGTGTGACAATTGTGTCTCGTTTATAGAAAGGAAGGACTAATGAAAACGATAATCATGAACCAGATTCTTTCTCTTGGTACCAGCTTTTCTGTCGGTATTAGGGAAGAGTTCAAGATTTATAAACCTAACTCTTCTGTAAGGATTTTAGCCAGTATTTTTTAATAGAACATGACTAATAAAAGTGACAAATTTTAAATTTTCTCAAATAATCCTTATTGTACGCTTTTTAAAGGAAAAGAAACTAAAAAAGATAATTAATGTGGACAATACTTTGTTAAGTTAAACAGATAGCTTGATTCTTGAAAACCTGTAGACATGCTCCTCTTTAAATGAGGCTTTTTGTTTTCCGTTGCTTCGCTTTCTAACAGTTAAAAGAGAAAGAAGTTGTTGCCAGGTCATTGACTCAGTGTACTATATTTGTTAGCATAAGATAGAGGCACTGTTGCAACTTCTGCTTTCAACCTATGCCTCATCAATGAGGAAAGGGGACAAAGTTTATAGAACTGCCACAATTGTATTTTAATTTTGTGGTGTGATATTTTTAGATAAGTCATAATTTCTAACTGTTTCCTTTCAGTAAACAGAATGTATGATCATGCAGATACAAATTTAGCATCTGAGTTTAGGGTTTTTTTTATATACTTTTTTTTTGCCAACTGATTTAACAACATTGCTGTCATGTGGAAATTTCAAGCACTTTTGCACATTTAGTTCAGTGTTTGTTGAGAACCAATGGCTTAATTTCGTTTTCAAAATACTTTTTTTTTTTTGCTTTTCAATCTTCCCATCTAGTTTTATTCCTATGTGTCAGTGACCTATCTTAAAACAACACACCAAAACATTTTCAGACAAACAGCATTCATTTTTTATGATCAATTTACATGCACATAAATGGAATTGTTTTTAATCAAATTGATCTTAATGTATATAAACATTTTACTTGCTTCATTATCGGTGCAGGTAGGTCACTGACTCTACTTTTCATCCATACTACACTCTTGTAAAACCTTTGAAGACATTGAAAAAGCCTGCCTGAGATGTTCTCTGCATTAATCTGTATGTTTTTGGGTTGTCAAGTGTTTATGCATGGTTTTGTCACTTAAAGGCTGATACTGATTTCAGTTGGCCCACCTATATTTAAATTGTGCAAGAATAATATGAAATACTTTGCTGTATCAAGTTTTAAGTAACAAAGATATATCATCATGTTAATAACTTTCAGACATAATTTGTATAAAATATTTTCATTCAATTTTTGTATCTCATTTAGACCCCCCAGACATGCTGATCATGTATTCTATATGTAGCTGCAAATGCTCTGGTAGTTTTGTTGTATATTATTGTAAAATTATTTTAATAAATCATGGTAATGATGATTTGTTACATTTTAATTTTCAGGAATTAAAAGGATGTCTGTGGATCTTTTCTTTTTATGAGCTTACTTCTGCCCATCACAACTTGCTATAGAGCCCACTTAGATAGGTTGCCCCTAGGCATACGTCGGTATTGAGAGCTGTTCAGCCACATTATTTTACTCACTCTTCGAAGGACATGAGCAAGCTTTCATACATACTAAGGGAGTCTTATTTACAAGTCAAGTACACTGAATTAACATATTTCAAAAGTCTTTCTTAAAACTCCCAATTTTAACCACAATCTAGCCAAGAAGAGAAGATCAAACTCTTGACAAAATAAGTGACATGAATCAGTATTTCACCACACATTCCATTATTTGAAACAGAAGAAACAATGCTTTAATGAGAAAATACTAAGGAGATGAGATTGTAGAGGACGGCACCCTAGACCGATAATCAAGGCATCTTGAGTTTCAGCCTGAGCCACATGCACCCTCAGTGTGTGGCCTTGGTCGGGGTGCTTAGCTATAAGAGGAAACATTTGCTTTAAGCAGTTTCTAAGGCCCCTTCTAAATTTCATACTTTGTGACAAGATTCCTTTTATTTGTCATTTTGAAGGGAGAGCATACTTTGAAGTAAGTTTTGGTAAGGTGATACTTTAGGGCATCTTTCTTCTTATACAGTGTTCTTATAAATCTTTGAATCTCACCAGAACCTTCTGTCTTTCCTGATTCTGTTTTCATTCGCTGATGCTAAATATCCAGATAATATCAAACTATCAACCTACCAAAAATGATACTGTGGCTTGTGGGTATTGCTGTCTTGTTTTTGATATGTTCTTGTGTTGATTGCCCATTGGCCTGAAATACTCATCGTAAGCCTAGAAAAAGAAAAAAAAACCCACAAAACATTTTCCTTTCCCACTGACTTTTTTTCTGCTTGTGTAAGAATCAAATGAAATTATGTATGTGAAAGCACCTCGTACACTGTACCCTATCAATGTAAAATGTTAAGGTGTGTTGTTATTTCATTAATTACTTATTTGTTTAGAATGGAATTTCCTATGCACTGCTGTAGCTAGGAAATGCTGAAATCAGCTGTGTTTTTTAATTAATCAATACTACAAAATTAAAGTATCTTCAAAGGATAAAACCATTTGTTGGGTCTTGAATTCTAGTTGGTGTTCTTTTCTCCGGGCATAATTGTGTGAGAAGATTTACTTTTGTCTTCAGAAATGAATTTCACTTTAACCTCCATTTGTTTTACCCATGTTGATTTGTGTGTTTTTATCGTTGCCCTTTATCTCAATAAGAAATATTTGTAGGCAATTTTATTAATAGCTCCAGGCTGGAGCGATAGCACAGTGGTAGGGCATTTGCCTTGCGTGCAGCCAGCCAGGCCAAGCCAGGTTCGATTCCTCTCGGAGAGCCCGGCAAGCTACCAAGAGTATCTCGCCTGTGTAGCAAAGCCTGGCAGGCTACCTGTGACATATTCAATATGCCAAACACAGTAACAACAAAGTTTCACAATGAAGACATTACTGGGCCCGCTTGAGCAAATCGATGAACAATGGGAGGACAGTGTGACAGTGTTTATTAATAGCAGTCTTTATTGCAATGATTATTACTGCAAACATTTATGAATATTGATGCATTTTATGTCATGGCACTTACTATTTTAATATCAGTGCCTGTTTCATTTTATCACAACCAGCACTTTCTGAATTTCAGTAATCTCATTTTATTATATAGTTAATTTTAAAAATATCTTCACTCTAAAGCCATCTTTATTTGAAATCCATAATTTTTCTTATGCAACATATTGAATATGAAGTTAAACACTTTGTATTTTTCTTTCCTGAAAGTTTTTGTATGTCTTAATAGCTTTTGTACCGTCTAATAAAGGCTAAATTATCTTTAATTGAAATTCATATATTAAAGTCTTAACCCTTAATACAGTGATGGTAGTTGAACTCAAATGGGCCTTTAGAGAGTTAATAAAGTAAAATGAGTCCATATAGATGAGTCTTAATCCAGTCTGTCTGGTATACTTACAAGAGAAATTTGGACATGAAAAACTCACAGACTGGGGCCAGAAAGATAGTACAGTGGATAGGGCACTTGTCTCGCACACACTGACCCAGGTCCAATCCCCAAAATCCCATATTGGTCCCCTAAGCATTGCAGGAGTAATAACTGTAGAGCCATGAGTGACCCCTTAGCATCGTCAGGTGTGCCCCCCCCCCAAAAAAAAACAGACCCAGGTAAGACTATATGACAATTTCAGAGAAAGAAGGCCATCTACAAATAAAGAGGAGAGGCCTCAAAAAAAAAAAGCCAAACTTGTTGGACCAAAGCAATAGTACAGTGGGTAGGGAGTTTGCCTTGCACACAGCCAACCCATGTTTAGTCCCCGGCAATCCATATGGTCTCCTAAGTACCACCAGGAATAACTTCTGAGTGCAAGCAAGGAGCAACCCCTGAGCATTGCCAGGTGTGAAAAAAAATCAGAACCTTGTTGAAACTTGATCTTGTGTTTTTAGTTCAAGGACAAAAATTACTTCATGATTGTTGAAGATACTCTGTAAGTGGTGCTGTTAGGACAGTCCTAGCAAATATCCACACTCACTGAGTATACTCCTTTAGAGTACTCTTTATTCCTGTAATGAAAGATTTGCCTTCATTGCACTTCACATGCTTTATATCTTGTCAAAACCAAACTAGTTTTCCACAAGGGTAGATAAATACTAATGTGGTCACAAATCTCAATGCACCTGCTCTCTTCTTTCCTGGAATGCAAAAACAAGAAACAGCAGCCACTGAGAGTTTGAAACCACTTCTAATTCCTGGTCAGGCTTACCAAGATATTCTCTCAAAAGCAGTGTTCATATTGAATATTTCAGACCCATTGAATCTGGAATTTTTGTCATCTCTTTATTGTGAAACAATAAGAAACAATTTTAAAAAGCGAGACACCCAGAAGAATGGCCGAGATTAGTACCAGGAATTTTACTCCATGACTTGGAGGCCAACCACACATACTAGGGGAAAAGGGAGCTCAGATAAAGAGGAGAACACCAAATAAAGGTGTTGGGAGGATCCTCCCAGGATGGGAGAAGCATGCTGAAAGTAGACTATAGGCCAAATATGATTGCCACTCAATGTTTCTTTTGCAAACCACAATACCCAAAAGGAGAGAGAGAGAACAGAGGGGAATGCCCTGCCACAGAGTCAGGGGGGGATGGGGGGGTGAGAGGGATACTGGGATTCGTGGTGGTGGGAAGTGGGCACTGGTGGAGGGATGGTATTTGATCATTGTATGATTGAAACCCAAGCACAAAAATGTGTAAGTCTGCAACTGTACCTCATGATGTCTCACTATTAAAAAATTAATTAATTAATTAAAAAGTGAGATCATGGGGAAGGTGGGGACAGAAAGGTAGTACAGGGCTTAAGAACACGTCTCATATACAGTTATCCCCAGTTCCATCCCTGACACCAAATGTTCCTCCAAGCATCACTGACAGTTTACTGAGAATCTCTGGGAGCCCTTCATTGCCCCCCACCACCACCTTGCAGTGTAAAGAGTGAGGGTAAAGCATTGCTGAAGAAACTCCAACTTTGTAATATACTTTGTAATATATGTCACAGCAAATACCGTCTTGTGTACTTCTCTATAGCTACTGTTAAAAAAATCACAAACTTAGTGACTTAAAATTACATAATTGGGTCAGCGCAATAGTACAGCTGGGAGGGCATTTGCTTTGCACGTGGCCAACCTTGGTTCTATCCTCGGCATCCCATATGGTTCCCTGAGCACCACCAGGAGTAATTCCTGAGTGCAGAGCCAGGAGTAACCCCTGAGCATCACCAGCTGTGACCCGAAAAGCCAAGTAAAATTTTTTCAAAATTTTAAAATAATTTTTAAAAAATTACATAAGTGATTACATAATCTTCCAGCTTTGAGGGTTTGAGAACCAATATGAGTCCCATTAAGTTGAAATCATGTCAACATGGTTCTATTCCTTTATGGAGGCTCTAGGAGAGAATCTGATTTATTACCTTCCCTAGTTCTAGAGCCTCCCATTTTTTATTTACTCTCGACCTTCTTCCACCTTCAAAGTCAGCAGCAAGAAGCCAATTCCCTTTTATGCTGCATCAATCTTAAACTTCTTTCCTGCTTCCCTCGTTTACATTTGAGAATCCTTATGGTTACATCAACCCACCCGAATAATCCAGAGCACTCTTCCTATTTTAAGTTTGTCTGATAAGCATACTTGATTCTTCTTTACCATATAACTGAATAACATGTTCTAAGGACTAGAACATAAATATCTTTGGGACAGTGAACATGATTCTGTCTACCACACTTTTATAGCATTTTTTAGGTGGAAAAATATCTGAAAATGGAAATAGAGATCAACTTTTCACAATTCAAAGAGAACAAATTTAAACTCAGATTTTGCTAAAGCAAAATATTTAGCATACAGTAAGTACCAATACATGATTACAGCACTCAACTGAATTGTAACATTAATTTAGAATGCCTTGAAAGATAATTAAATGGCATGATTTATCAGAAAATAAACTAAAACCACAATTAAATATTGCTGCACCCCAATAACTTTAAAACACTGATAATATGTGGGTCTGGAGAGATGTACAGGGGACAAGGTGCTTTTCTTGTAAGTGGCCAAACCTAGTTTGATCCCCAGCACCACATACCACCAACCCTCCCCCCTACACACACACACACACACACACAAGCACCAACAGTAATGATCCCTGAGCACTTCCAGAGTGTGGCCCCCAAACAAACAAAAATACCTAAGACCAAGTGTTGGTGAAGAAGTATAACTGGTCGGGCTGTAGTGATAGCACAGCAGGTAGGGCATTTGCCTTGCACGCAGCCGATCCAGGTT